AAGTGATGATGTGATGATAAAGGGATGTTGACTCGGATAGTAAAGACCAGTGTGTGCCTATTTCTGCTTTTCCATAAGGAAAAAATATTGTATTGCTGGCATAAAACTACTTCAGTGCTTAAATCTTTCTTTAATTGCCAGAATAAAACATTCCAGACTATTTAAACCTTAATGTTGATTTGTCAGAAGTATTTTTCTTTATCATTCTACAAGTGATTTCACCTTCCCTAGGATGAAAATAGCAACACCAATGCTTTCTTCTTCTTTCAGTCCTTGAATCATAAATATAATTAAGTCTTCAAGTCTAGCCATGACATTGTGTTATAAATATTATGAATTAAATTTTATTTTCTAGTTATTGGTTAATTGAATAACTTCTCTCTATATTTACCTTATTTCTTTTCAGATAATGGCATCACATTTCCGGGCACTTTTAAATGAGCCCAACTGATTTAATCAATCAAAAATGTCTTGGTGGACAAAAGAACTATTGTCATCAAGTGAGTTTTTCGGCATTGTGAGGTGGAATTTATGTCTCAAAAATTCCAAAGGTATTAGAAACTCCATTAACTTAGTATATGAGTAATGATTACTATTGTCTTGGAAATGTTGATGTATTGGTTTATTTCACAATTTTACACAGGAAAGCTATACATTTGCAGCTTTTCGCCTGCATTTTGTATCACAAGTAAATCATCACTGAGTCAATCATAAATGCCATCTGCATATTTATGAAAACTGAAGGGCATCAATCTATAGTTTCCTTATTAATTCTTCAAGCACTGCATTTCCTCTTGAATTGAACAATACATACCCCATAGTGAAAAAAAAAATTTCAGCTTTGGTTTTATAGCTAGCTCTACATTTCTAATCAGAGGATATGAGTCTGATCTCATGACCTATTTATATAGTTTTCAAATTTTCTAAGAAAAATAAAGCTCACTATAATGAATACCTAATGGTATAAACACTCCTCCATTAGTGGTTGCTTAGTAACTACATACTGCAAGCTTGTGGGGTTGCTAAAGAGGCTGAATAAACGGAAATATTGAGATCTATTTCCAATTCAGGTGGATGAGGGGCAGCAGTGGGCCAGATTCCTTTGTTAAAATTGTTTTTCCATAATAGTTTTGCACTAAAACATCCTTCTGCACTAAAACTTACTCTTGTAAATGACTTCTGCAGATAAGAGTCCAAACCAAGTAATGGTCTAGGATTTTAAAAACATTCAATAAAACTGAACCAACACTGCTTCATTGTTCTGTATTAGCCCCAGTTTCTGTTCTTAGAGTGACTAGACTGGGGAATAATATTCTTACTGTACCTTTAACTCTTTAATGAGATCTTCTATTTGGACATCACTTTAGCACTGAATAACCAAATGCAGTTCCTAGCTAGAGGTGGTATTAAAAGGGGCTGGGAGTGATTATAATGATCTATTTATGTTTAGCTTTGGCTCGCTTCCTACCTAGAAGATTTAATTTCCTAATTATGTTTTGCTTTAGCTTAGGTAAAATTAGCTTGCATTCCCTTGGCACACACCAACTGCAGTTGGTGGAGGAGGCCTTCCAAAACCATAGGTTGTTGACAAGAGTGGCTAACTAGATTAGGATTAAATTTACTGAGTGAAATCCACAAAGAGCCTAAACACATGTAGATAATAACAAGCTGATGATGAGGGAATGTAGTCAGGTCATATGAAAACTCGTTTCTGGCAATGTCCTGGTTTCAAAAACATGTGATAGACACAGGGCACGCCAAGCTCATCTGTGCTCTTTGTTAGACTTCCTGATGTCAAGATTTGGGGCTTCCTAGGTTGGTTACCGTGGTGTAGACAGGGATAAGTGTGGTCTGGAATATTTAAATTGTATAACTATAGCCTTGTGGATACAGTCAGAAATGATTTGCTACTCAGTAATTTTGTCATTTGGCAATACTAAGACAAGATAACATATGGTTTGCTCTTTGGAGTTAACATAAATGTTGTCATTTGACTGAAATAAAGAATTCCCTTATTCCAAGAGGGAAACTGTTTTAGGATATGTGTATGTTCTTTCATCTTTTCGTATGGAAGGAAGCATCTCGTCCCATCATTATGTATAACTCGCTGGGTTTTTGGTTTAATGGGTTGGAGGCTGTGGCTGGTGAGGCCAAGGCCATGGTTTAATCAGAAAACCACTTGGCTCCCCAACTACAGTCTGCATTCCTAGCTGCAGCAACCCATTTCACTGGTCTTAAAAGAGAATCTTGAAGAATGCTCTAAGGCTCAGCACAAACACCTCTGTTCCAGGGTTCAGAAAATAATTTGTCTCATTCTTTTCTCAGTGGGTCATCTACATCATTATATTCAAAGGAGAAAAAAAACTAACAGTTTTCTCTGTTTGCAATAGATTCAATCTCTTTTCATTTTAATGCTGAAAGAAATTCACGGATTAAAAATCATGATTCATTTTTGTTATAGGGATTTCTTTTCTTCCTGCTTATACTTCCATCTCTCTTCTTTTCCCCTGCCTTTCAGAAATTTTCTCTTCAGCCCTGGTATGTCTTTTTTTTCAATTTACTTAGCTGTTTAATGAAGCTTCAAAAGATTTAATTTCTGGAGCCATCAAGTCACTACCCTTTCAGATCTATTTGGTTTGACTCTAATAGAGCTTGTCTTTGTGCAAAGAAAGTCTTTCAGAAAGAGTTAATTTGCAATCTCAACAGAGGCTAATTCTCAGGAGAGATTTTAAACCAGCAAGTGTTCTCCTGGTGGAGAAGCAGCCTGGGGCCAGGCCACTGTGAGGGAGTTAACTCCTAGCGTGCTTCTTCTGTGCATTAGGGTGGGATATTCCATCAACCCTCCGCAGCAGGCAGTGGCAGCTTTAAGGTACAGACAAAACCCTGTTTATTTTCCTCCCCAGGTCTGGGACTTAGCAGTTAGAAAATATGCTGTCTTGTGATTTTTTTTTTCAACAGTTTATTTTTCATCAGGAAAAAGAAAAAAAGGAGGTGAGAGGGAAGAAACCACTCAGGGATTCATTCCTTTGTGGGGTGATTCTGCTTTAAATTGTATTTAGACTAATAGAAGCTACTTCTTCCCAATGATGATTTTTTAAAATTGAGCTGCATGTATAAAATAAATGGGATTTGCTTTCCAGGGATATTGTCATGTCATATTCCCAGTTCTTAACCCCTAAGTGAAGTTTATTATTTTATTCTTTTGTCTTTTTTCAGAAGTGAGCCAGTTAATTTCTTGGGTAGTAATTCAGCATCAGTATCAAGCATCAGTATCAAGAAAATTCATTGCCTTGTGATGTGTGAAAATGCATTTTGAAAAGAACAAGGAATGCTTTTGGTTCCAACTTTAAATTTTTACTACCACTTCAGCATCTAAGTTTTACTGTCAAACGCTTTTCTTTCATCTTATAAGGAGTCTAGTTATTCTAATAGTGAGCAATTTCAGAGAGAATATTTGATAAAAGAAAGTGGTATAATGAACAGAGATGGAAACCATAAGTCTAAGAGAAGGAGTAGCTCTCAGAGTAAAGTCAAAGAAAATAAACAAATGAGCACCTTTGTCTACAGGATAACCTGGAGGTGATTTCTAAACCTGTGACCCTTAACCCCAGGGCTCCAGGTGAAAGTTCTTTCTTGATGTAGACCTCTTCTGGGAGGAAACTTTTTACAATTTATTGATCAATCTTTTTCAGGGTCTTTGCAGAAAAGATGTCCTCTGCCCTGGTTTGTGTCATATTTAGATGCAATTTGGAAAGTGAAGCAATTAAAGTGCCAAAACCTTTCATTAGGAGTCTGCCATTTTTTAAAATGAGCTTGATCTGTAACCCTTGGACTGAACATTCCAGTCATTCATCTTCCAGAATTTCAAGTCCAGGATTTGGTTGTGGTTTGATTTTACTTCGTTGAGACGCAGCCTGAATGCCTCCATTTGATTTTGCGCTTCCAACACATTTTTGGGATCTGGTGATTTGGGAAGGCCTGTACCATATGGTCTTGATAAGATTTTCACATCCTGGGAATTGGCAGGAAAGGGTAGGAATTGAATCAGATGTGGGAAGGGAAAATTAAGAGTTTGGACCTAACTCACTCATATCATGAAATATATTCTGAGACCTATAATTCCCATAAAATCAATTCTTAGGGAAGGTTTTTTTTTTTTTTTTTTTTTTTTTGGAGAGCAGCCCTGAGCTAACATCCATGCCAATTTTTTTTTTTTTTTTTTTGGTGTGTGTGTGTCTTCAACACATGGGAGTAATTCTTTTAACTTCTCTTAAAAGTTGAAAGCTTCCTTTTGCAAGCAATGACACAAAATTTCTTGGTTAGTCCTTCAGAAAATAACTCAGACTTGGAGTCAAAGAACAAAAAGTGGCCTTGCTTCACCTTTCTTGAAAAAGAGATGGAATAGAAAGGTATAGACCCAGGGGCCAGGTGCAGGGTAATAAAGGGTACCAGGACGCATTTTGATCTGGGAGGTGTTGGTTTTGGGAGAAGAAGAATAAGACAGAGGCAGACATAGACACTAGGAGGGTACAAATGCCCCGGCGGCAGTCTTGCCAAAAAAAAAAGAAAAGAAAAGAAAGGAATTTAACAAAAAGAAAAGGGTGCCTTACGTGATTCCTAGCGGCGGGATAGAGAGGACTGAAGCGAAGGATTTTTCCCTGCTTTACAGAGAATTCGGATTCTGGAGGCCTGACATTTAATCCGGTGGGTCTGCACCATCCGCTTCGTGGGGGCTGTGCTGGGCGGGCGAATCACCTCTTGGGCTCTTTCTTTCCTTCACCTCACCCAGCGGCTTTGATTCCCCCATCTCCGCGCCGCGCCATAACCTGGCCTGGGCATGTGCCCATTTCCCGTATCTCGACGAGCCGGCTGAGGGCTGGCGCCGGGCGCGGGGCGGCGGGGCGGGGAGCAGGCGGCGGGCGGCGCTCCGGCGCGCAGCGGGTTAAAGCGGCGGGGGCGGCGGCGAGGGGAGGAGGGAGCGCGGCGGCTGCGGCGGCGGCCGGGCTGCGAGCGCCCGCGTCCGCGTCCCTGGACCGCAGCGGGTTAAGCGCCGCCCGCGGCGAGAGGGCTGCACCCGGAGCCGCGGCTCCGAGCTCGCATTCGGATCCGCTAGGGCAGGAAGATGGCGACGGACGGCGCGAGCTGCGAGCCCGACTTCTCCTGCGCCCCCGAGGACGCGGCGGGGGCCACGGCGGAGGCGGCGGTAACCGTGGTCCCGGGGTGGGCGCGGGGTCTCGGGGTGGGCGCCCCCGGGCGCTGCGCAAGCCCGCGCTCCTCGGGGTGCCCTCTCCTAGGGGTGCCCCCTCCTCGGGGAGCTCTCAGGGCCGGAGGCCGGGTCGAGTGGGGCGAGGCGGCTGCCCGGGCTAGGGATCCCCCTTGTCCTTTCCGAGCCCCGCGGGAAGCAACCCCGGTCCGCCCGGTTCTCGGGGCTCCTGCGTGCGTCTCCTGCGACCCCTACGCCCACTCCCTCCGCTGAGGTCGGGTTTGGCCCCCGGGCGAGGACTCGGGTGTATTTCCTGGCGAACTTGACCCCTCATTGTTCGCCTCTCGCTGCGCGCGTGGTTGTGGGCGCGTGTCTGGGGGGGTGCCTGGCACTTCTCGGCGGACCGGGGAGAGCAGCGAGGGGGAGGCGGGTCATCGCCGAGCAGGTGTGGGGATGCCCATTGTGTGTGTGTTCGTGTGCCGGAGGCCCCTTGGGAGAGGCCCGGTGTCCAGCTGTGGGCGCTGCTGCCGCTGAGCTCCGGCGCTTTGGGTCCTAGCTGCCTGCTGCCCCACCGCTTGGTGGTAGTGGCTTTTGGGGGTGGAGGGGCGGGGGGGAGTGTTCTTGTTCTTCCCGAAACGATGCCTGGGCGAGGTGGAGGTTCAGCACCTGGTATCAACACATTGTTCTTTTTTGCTGGGGGTCTGGAAGCCGAATGAGCTTCCATCCATCGCTAGTTCCCATTTTCACCCCCCGAATATTCCCGTGCACAGAGGCTCAATGGTGGTTTCTAGCTTCTACCCTGGGGGAGGGCTGGATCCACATTTCCTGTGTGGAAACGTTCTCGGGGTTTGGGAAGCAGCTTCGCAGGAGCTGCAAGGATCTGCAAAGAAAGGCAGCTCTGGGAGCGCCTCCCACCCTTGGCGCGATCCCGCTGCTCCCGCCAGAGATTCCGGGTGGGATGGAGTGAGCGGAGCAGGGATGGCCCTCAGTTCTTCCCATGACCTGAGCAGAGTTGCTGCACGAGTGGCAGAGGGCAGGGCCAGGTGTAAATAGCCAGGGCTGCATTGACTTCCTCTCTGTATAGAGGTAGGGCTTTCTGGAGAGGGAGAGGAGAGATGTGGAGGAAGTACTTGGGCTTGAGAGGAGCTGAGCCAGGGAAGGAAAGGAAAAAAAGAGGGAGGGAAGGAAAAACGGAGGTGGAGGGCTGCTGATTTCCGCTTGTGAAACTGGCAAGTTTTGATCTGAAACTTTTAGGAAAATTGATTTTTCATTCTTTACGTGGAAAATATGAACTTTCTTAAGATTTCAAATGAAACCTGCCTACTTTTGATGCCGTGAATCCGTTCCTCTCTGTGAGGTACAATAAGGAAGCCAGCTATTAAGACAACAAGCCTCTCAGGGAAGTTGAAATGGTTGGGTACCTTCATCCCTAAGAGATGGTAAGGGGAGGGGAGTGAGAAGAAAAAGAAAGAGGGGGGTGTGTGTGTTTCTCCTTTCCCAGGATGGTTGAATTTGTTTGTTTAATGGACTTAAAATGGGCTTCGTTCTATTACCCTCAATATTTTAATCACCTGACAATTAAACCAAACACAAACATCTGATTTATGGTCTGTAGCCGATCTATAGTTTTATTTGGATAGATTGTAAACAGAACCTTGGATGCTAGGTGGATTTTTGTGTTAAGGAGGTCAGTGTTCCCTTTCTGATGCTTAAAATTTTCAGGAGTCAGATTTTCACTGCTGATGGGTAGGGATTTGATCATTTCACCCTGGTTAATGGGAATAGCTATGGAAAATCGGTGAAAGTCCTTTGATATTTCCATAAAATCCTGTAGGGTTCTGAGGAGATGCAATAAGGACTCTTAATCTGATAGTTTTCTGAAATAATTTTTGACTTTTTAGTAAAATTTTGATGATGGCTTCTTAGGCAGTAAACTGAGTATTTTACTTTTCACTTAAAGTACTCCCATATCAGCCTCTTGACCTGTAGACTGATTTTTAAGTTAAAGAAATCTAGGTTGAGGAATGATATTTGTTGTTATAACTGCTCCTTATCTAATGATTAAAAATCAAAGACATTTTTAGGCATTTTGGGTTCATGGCAACTGAGGACTTAAAATTTTTTTCGTTTTTAGTGAATAATTCTTTTTTGCATTTTAGAGATTTCATTTCAAGTTGGTTTACATATTATGCATTTCCTATGTACATTTGGCAGTTATGAGCCAATGGAGATTCCAAAGCAGTAGGCTATTTTTGAAAGTGAGTGTTTTCACTAAGTTTTGACTATTTAGATTGTTGCTTAGAGACAAGTTTAATTTATAGTTTTCAGCTTAATATGATTTTCAGTGGAGTGTTTTAAATTTAGTTTGTGATCCTTGTTCTTAGCTGTTTAAATCCTGAAAGCATCCCAAGTGTAGAGCCGGGTAACGGCTACATTATTCACTAGGATCATATTAATAGTTTTTGCTGTGATCCATGCTGGGAGACCTGCTATTTTCAGTGCCTTAGCAAAATGTGACTTTTATAGGCTATATTGCTATTTCTACTCTGAAAAATAACTTCTGATGGACAAGGCAGTATGGAAAACAAATCTTCGTGCTTTTTATTGTCACCAAAGAATTGAAGAGTGAAAGGAAAGTGGAGCTCTTTTTAGAGCTATGTTTGGGAAGCTGACCAGCATTCTTGTCATTCTGGACTTTTCTGGAGCAGCTAATACGCAAAAAGTAGATATAAATTTTGTTGTCACAGTGAGAGTGGCAAGGAGAAAAATTTGGGCAATTTTGTTAAAAATGCACAACAGTAACATTAAACAAATTAACTGGCACCTTGAAATTTTTTTTTTTCCAGGTGACAGAATTGAATGTAAATGCAATGAAAAGAACCTTCTTAGCCAATTTTGCTAAGCTTTCTTTAAAAAACAAGAACAACCTAAATTATAGTTATATGGCAGCTATAGAATATTGAAAGTTTCACAGTACAATTTTTAAGTAGGAAATAATCTAAATTTAATACGCATTGCAGAAGACTTACTGAAATGGAGACATCACAAGTAACATATTTGCTGCCCTAAAGTAACGCATTCCAGTGTGGAAACTGTCGTGTAGCTAGGAATCCAATCAGAGATGATGGTGTCATGAGAGGCACAAATAATTTGTGTTAGGAGTCTGGGGAAGAAGAGTCGTGGAGAGGATTCCTAGTGGAAGGATCTGGAAACATTGCACAGAAGGATGGGATTTGAGCTGGGCCTTGAGATGTAAGGAGGACTCAGACAGGGAAACTGCAGATAGCTGTGTGCAAGTGTGGCTGGTTTTTAGGGTTCCTTGAGAGATGGCCTGGGGCACATGTGAGGAGCTTTCAAAGATGAGCATAGAAATTTCAATTTCAGTCTCAACTGTGTGCTTTAGAAAAATAGTTTCGAAGTTGAGGAAATAAACTAAAATATTCCCCCAAAGAATAGAATATAACTGCTTTCAACATGATGCTTTTCACTCTTTACTTTTTTTCTTCTTAAATAATAGGTTGTACCTTTCTGTTTGCTCTTGTGTTTTTGGACTTCATTATTGTTGCTATCGTGGTTGTTATATTTCTCACAGGAACAATTGTGTTTAGAGAAAAGCATTTGTCCTCTCTGTGATTGAATCCATGCCTAGGCTAGATTGCCAGTTGGTTCTATCCTCTTGCGTTTCATGTAATTTTATGAGGTGAGAAAATGTTTCACAGACTTAGTACTTAATCAGCCATTTACAAATATCTGCTGTTGATCATATGGACAGCAAGGCTGTGGCTGAGAGAGAGCAGCCTCCTCCTTCAAGAGGAGCTGTGTGGGTTTTGTTTGTAAAAGAAAGCAAAAGTTGCTTAGCACAGTTCCAGGCACGTGGTAGGTGTCCCACCAATATTTATTGAATGAAGAAAATGAACACTCACCAAGAAGCTGTGTCATAGTAGTGAATGTTGATTGGCTAATTAGAAATTTTACTTTGTGCATTACCAGATTGTAATGAAACTATTGGCCTGTGATTTGTAGTAATTAACATTATAGATATTATAGATCTTTTCTTCTTTCAGAAAGATGACCCTGATTCTTATCGTTTTTGATTTTCATTTTTATATTGTCCCATTCCAAGCTGCTTTTCTCAATGACATTTCAGATACTTTACAGATTTTTTTTTTTAATTAAATTTCCAACACAATTACTTTTCCCTTTAGATTTTCTCTCTTCAAAACAGTGATTGAACCTGGAGATGTGGTGGTGGTGGGGTGGAAACTGCACTCTCCCATCCTGAATTCTTCCAATAATAGAGTCAAGGCCAAATCACCCACTGGGGTGTGGAGGAGGGAACGATTGAGAGGGGGGTTAAGAGGGAAAAGCAGGGAAGTTTGCAAACAGGAAAAGGGGATAAAAAGAAAGATTGGGCAGGAAGAAGGAGGTTAGGCAATGCTGTGGAAAAGTCTGCAAATGCCCAGAAATGTGGGATTAGAATTCAACTCTGTGCCTAGGAAGGATGGAGCAAGTTTCTCTCCCTTCCATTTAAGCACATCTGAGTATTGCTTTAGAAGGAGACTTTATTTGAATGCACTTGATTGTATTCTTCTCTATTGGAGCTCCTTTACAAGACTTATATAACATGGAAAAGGAAACTTGTCTTTTGTCTTTGAGGATTAGGTAAAGAAATGGAGAATAGTTACAAGAGAGATGATGATGATGACATTGATAACAAAGGACTTTTAAAATTTTAGCTTAATCTGTTACAAATAACTTGTACAAAAATAATGAGATCATGTTATTAATGCTGTACACAATATGATGCCATCCATGTAGAAATCTTGATTTTAGAAAAAAAAAATTCTGTCTTGGAATAAATTGTTAGTAAATAACCAACTAGGTTGAGAATCGATTTAAAAGGTTATTATAGTAAGTGCAGTATAGCCAAGTTAAAATTACTATGTGGAATGGATACTTGTTTGCAGATGATTTGGTTTTGACATTTTTATATTTAATTG